ACACACACACACACACACACACACACACACACACACACACACACACATATATATACAGCAAGTGCAAGTTGTTCTTCTAACAGAGGGAAAAAGTCAAAATGATTGACATGTAGCCCTTGGAGTTGAGCGGATTCTTAAACATTTTGGATAAACACTCCATAAAGAAAAAAATTGTAAAAACTTCCAAGGGAAACTATTATCAAGAGGCAAGCATATTAAAGAATATACTGAAAAGAAACTGACAAGGTGAGGTATTTTTTTCAAGAGAGGATATTTTCCAAAATAAATAAACAAATAAATGGCATATTTTAAGTATCAGTTTGTGCGAATTCTTACAGTTATAATCTCTCTCATCATTGTAACTAATAGTCTGGGTCCAATGAAGAGGTAGAAACCACCCAGTGAGCCACACAGGGGAAGTTTGCTATAAAGAATTATTAAACTCTGATAAGTGAGTAATTATAAGACAAAGGCATCTCTATGCCTATGGCTGAGGGACAGTGTCCAAAAACAATTTGGAAGTGGTTCTTTCCCCAAGGCTGTAGTTCAGCCTTATTGGGAAAAGTATAGTTCATTTCACTGGAAAGCAGAGAAGATCTTTGGTTTTCTCAGGCTAGAGCTGGTCTGCAGTTGCTGGACAAGCAGAAAGGAATCCTCCATAGTCCAGGCAGGGTGCATGCAACCAGGAACCAGGGGTGTGGACAAGTGGGTAAGGGCCCAGGACAAAGATGAGCTGTGTAGGGGTCCTGTATAGGGAATCAAGTGCCCATGCAGGCAGGAGGCCTTCACAGGCAGGGAGTGTTGGGATGCCGTAGCTAATGCGGAAGGCCACGAAAGCTTATCACCAGGCCAGGATGAGGCTGCAGGGTTGCCAAAAGATTGCTTATTCTGGGAACATGGCTGGGGAAGAGCCCCACTGGGTGTTTCACATACCGAAACACTAGCCTACTGCACAGCCACCAGGAACAGCAGGAGGGTTCCTTCTTTCTGCAATGCCCCTTGAAAACCCTCTACTGAGAAGGCTTAAAAATGTGCTCACTATACAGGAGGGTTCTTAAGGGAGATATGTCCATTATTGCAGAGAACGTATAAAGGGCGAATTTGGAGTCAAGAGGCAATAAATCAATAACTGACACAGTCATCAACCCAATCCTTTCTACTGGGTAATTTCTTTAGGAAACAGACTACTCTCTAATAGTTTGCATCTTAATAAAGAAAACATAAATTTAAATATATATGTGTATACAGAATATAAATATTCTCTGTGTGTGTGTGCACAAATATTCTATATACACACAGAGAGAGAGAAGACAAGACAGAGAGATCCCCTGATACTATGTGTTTCTCTTGAGATATGGCCATATATTTTCTCCCCTTTTCAGAAGCCCCTCTTGAAAACATGGTCTATATTTTTTTTGTCTTTGTTACCGCCTATTCTCCATTACAACACATTCCAGTTTGGCTTATGTTTTAAATTGCTCCTGCCAAGGGTACTAATGGCCTTTGTGTTGTCAAATCCAATGGCTACTTACTTGTCTTCATCCAGCTCAGCCTCTGAGTAGCATTTGACCCAGTTAACTGTGCCTTCTTTGTTCACCACTTACTTTCCTTTGCCTCTGTGCCACAAATTTCTCTGTGTTTTCCTCCTATTTCCTTGGTCACTCCTTTCTATTTTCCTTTGCCAATCCCCCCTTTTCTGCGTGGCCTCTAAAATTGGAGTACCCTGGGGTTCATTCCTATGCAACTACTTTGCTCTGTCTATATGCTAATTTGGGGTGATACCGACTCCCTGGCTTAAATTTCCACCTATGATTTTCACAACTTCTAGGTATTTGTCTCCAGCTCTGATTTCTCCATTGAGCTTAGGACTTGCATATCTAATTGCCTACTTAACTTCCAATTTACCTATCTAGGAGATATCTCAAACTCAATATGATCAAAGTGGAATTCTTTATTTATATTCCAAAATGCATTTGTCTCTAGTTTTCTCCGGTTCAGAAATGTTTCCAGATTCATACAGGTAGTCATAAATTGTCCTTGATTCATCCTCTTCTCTCATTCCTTTCAAAGCTCTGCCATATTTTTTTTATAATATATGTGAAGAATCTTTCTCCTCTTCTTGGTCTCTATTGCTACCATCTTAGTCTAAACTATATCACTTCCTTCCTGGACTCAGGCAATAACTGATCTTCCTGCTCATAATCTTGAAACTTGTACAACCCATTCTTTACACAGTAGCCAGAGCAGAGCTTTTTAAACTGTAAATGAGATCATTTTATATCCCTATATAAAACCCTTTAATATGTTCCAAAAGCCTCTCATGATCCATAAGGCTGAGTCTTCCTTGTCACTCCAATCTCTTAAGTTTTCCTGACCACACAATCTAAAACTAGATCACCCCATCTCCATATTATTCTTAATTTCTTCACTGTTTTCTTTTCATGAGTGTATGTATCACTATCTAAAATAATCTCATTAATTTAGTTGTATATATTATTTGTACATGTTCTACTGACATTGAACTCTAGGTTCTTTAACAGCAAGGACTGTGTATTTGTTCACTAGGCACCTTGTTCACAGCATCTGGAACTATGTATACAATATGTTAAAGATTCAGTCCACATCTGTTAAATAAAGTACAATAATTCATTTGACATCTGCCAGGGAGTAAGTGGAATGTATTTTTGGGGGGGATGATTATCTCTGTTTTATTTTTTTTCTCAATTTCAATAGTTTTGGGGGAACAGGTGCTGTTTGGTTGCATGGATAATTTCTTTAGTGGTGATTTATAAGATTTTGGTGCATTGATCACATGAACAGTGTACACTGCACCCACCTTTTATCCCTCACCTCCCTATCAACCTTTCTCCCAAGTCCCCAAAGTTCATTGCATCACTTTTTAT